GTGTGCCCCCCCCCCCCCCCCCAATCTCGAGATTGCTACCTCAAGGAAACTCGCCGCGGTAGGCACAAAGAGGGCACACACTGGACATGGGGCTTTGTGGTACTGAAGGCGTTTTACACCTCTGAGTCTATGCCCGAAAGCCATACGCCAAAGACATCTTCACTTAAGATATTCTTCCCATGCTCAGTCGACGGCACACTTCAACATAGCTTCCATAGTCGGGTCTCCGGAGCATGCCCACGTGAACACCTTGGAGTAGGCACCTCCGTCCCTTGACACGTGAACTTGGAAATTCCTAGTGGGCTCTCTTCTCTGGATGCGACATCCGGGCGGTAACATCTCCCGGTCGCTCAGACGTGTGCTCCAGCTGCCAGCAGGCAGCTCACATGCAGATCTCTGTACAGTTCCCTGATCACCCTGGGGCAGCGCGGGGCGTTCCAGAATCATTTCCCAGTCGGCAATGGAAGCTTCGAATTCGTCTGATGATCCCGCAGCAGGCCGTTCCTGACATGAAAGCTAGGAATCCTGAGCTACATAATTGCAATGGTACACAAGATCTAGCCAGCCCAGGCCCGGCAGCTTCGACGACACAAGATGACACAAGTAAGCAACTGGATTGCGAACCACCAGACGAGCACCTCGGAATCCAACTCCAACCCTGGCCCTCTGGAAAAGCCATCCACCTCCAGATCATCTTCCGGCACCTGGGCGTGTGCCATCTATCTGTGCCACCAGCTACCGACAGGATCCTAGAAAAACCCTGGACAGAAGTAGTTTCCAGGCATCGGCTGCCTCGCATGTGCCATCTATGCGGCCGCGAGACAATCTGATCAATCTCCGGCTCATTTTCGTCCTCAGTCTCATCCGCCTCGTCTTCCTGCAATCGGCGGCACAAATGGCATAACCAACAACATCCGAACAGGATCGCACCCGACAACACCGGCTCGCAAAGCACTGGTCCTCTGCACCCGACATGTAGCCTTGCATGTGTTCCTGCAAAAGGTCCGGATGTCTCTGATAGACTGACTCTCCATGTACCATGCACTGCACACTCCACCAGGCACGTATATGCAAAGGAAGCCTCGCATCGGAAGCGAGCCTGAAAACGGGATAAGATACTCGGATTTCTTCGGCTCAAAACGGTTGGATACATATTGCAAATGCCCTCCGAGAACTCCGAAATCCAAAAGTCCAATTATGGGGGATTCCCGGGACTTAGGGCTTAGAGGGCCGGGAATTCATGGGTCCTAGATATGGGAGTCTAGGACCCATGAATCCAGCTCTTTTTTTTTCAGCAATCGCTAGCACGTCCCTGGGTCAAAAGCCCGGGCCATGCGTGAAAAAGCAACCGCAACTCGCAAACAACCAAGGCAACCGTAAGCTCTTTGGACCAGCTTTGGATCTACTGTGACATGTCTGGCAAAGTCTGGAAAGGCTTCCCATCGCTCACATGTGCAGAGCAACTTCTGCACAGTCCGACGAAACAAGTTCTGCACAACATCGCTTCCTGCGAGGTACTAATAACACCGCGCAAAGGACTTACGCTGCATGTTGGGCCCCGCGAGGATCGTGGAAGTGCGCGAGAATGCTCCGAGTGCGCGAGAGACGTTAAATTAAGCGTTCGGGATGAGCAGGTATATGAAGCATATCGCGAACTGATGCTCGATTGCTGAGGAGAACGTCGCGACTCTGCATCGATCGCACTCCGCTGCTGCAGCACTTTACTTGCAGGCAAACCTGAGACTCAAGTTGTGAGATATGCAAGCAATCAATCCTCGATCCGGCCAAAAACTCGCAAGCAACCTCCATCCAGCCTGAAAACGAGCTCTTGTTCTACAATGTCCTATAACGAATGTCGGAGGAAGAGTTTCGGCGCTTGAGGGCTTAAGGTTTAGTGGGCAGAAGGAAGCGAGGCGGGGGTACCAACAGCACAATGGATGGCACATGTGGGTCGGCGAAAATCAGATCAGGGCCGCACACAAAGATGGCACACATAGCTAGGAGTCCGGGCCGTCTGCAGCAATCTGCTCTACATCGCGGCGGATGCACGAAGGGATTCAGATTTTGCGGGCTTGTCGATAAGAGTAATAGGAGTTTGTTTTTATGCCTTCGGCCAACCAACATGCCAAGCTGTTGTTTGTTGGGGCTACAGGAAATGACTGCTCTTGGGCAAACTTGGGCCGCACGCCGCCGCTGTTTTCTGTGGCCCTGGATCTCTCGCAACGTGGAACTCACACAGGCGCAACAGATGGTCTGAGCACCCAGCTCCATACCGACAGAGAGAGACTCGGGCTGGAATGCATGAGAGAGGTCTGAGCCACACGGCCGTGTGCCATCTATGTTTCGCGGCCTATCCAATCAATCCCTCGACGATTCTCTCTAGGGTCGAATGTTCAGAAGCCATCTATTAGACCGGTAATTCTACGGAATTCGGAGGAAACCGTTGAGCCACCCTTGCGGGTTCTAAGATGGCATTTTGTCGATTTTTTCCGGGAGCCATCTTTTCGGGGACCCCTATAAGAGCCACAATCCTTGCCGTCTTCGCTGGCCCTTAGGTTTTAGGGATGATACCAGCACCCGCTTTTCTCATTGCAGCATATGATCTTCTCGGACTTGTTGTCCGACTTGCCCGTGTGAGTGTATGTACATTTACGCGTGTATGTACACATGCGAACCCTAAGGGTAAACCTGTACAAGATACCGACATAACGACGAGGGTCGTTAACTGACCCCTGATTCAAAAACAACATCAAATCTAATCCTATCCTTTTCATTTTCTTATTCAAGTTGCAACCTTAGTGAGCCACAAGAAATCGTAGAGGTAGCTGTGATAGCCCTGACATTCTGTACTACCTTCCTATTTATCCCAAAACTGATCCGAATAATGCCCTAGTTATTACCTATTGTATAGCACAACTGCTAAGCGGAATCGAATCCCAATAGTAGTGACACTCGACGAACCTTATTGGCAACACTCATTCGTAACGCTCGCAAACAACAAATGAAATACACACTCTTTGCTAGGAAAAATTGGTCTTGGAGTGAAATGCCAACTTTCCCTGGGAAACAAAAGAATTTGGCCTAGCACAAAATTGTTGTAGGAAAAGACGGTTTTGGACAGCAGAATCAACTTTTCCTAGGGAAATCAAAAACAAAAAAACAACATCTTTTGTGCACCTATATGGCCAGACTCCAACAAGATCTTTTTCTGCTTTCCCCGGGAAACACATTGATTTTCCTGCCCAACACCATCCTTTTCCTACGAGAAGCATGGTAAACAACCAGTTTTCCTAGGGAAAAACAAAAAATCGGACACGACACGGCCAGAATCCAAAAAGATGGCTTTTTTCGAAAAATGAGGTTTTTCTCCCCAAAACCATGTTTCTCGTAGGAAAAGTTTTTCAGCACAAAACCAAATAAACCCTAGGAAAGGCATGGTTCTGGACTGAAAACTCAGTTTTACTCAGGAAAACCAAAAGATCGGAAGACACGGCCGGACTCCAAAAAGATGGCTTTTTTGCTTTCCCTAGGAAAAGATAGGTGTTCCTCTTATTCCTAGGGAAAAATAGGTTCTTATGCACAAGAAAAATTGGCTTTCCCACCACCCCAAAATGATTTTTCAACAGAAAACCTCACAGCGATACATAGCTACAATGGCAATGGCCCGACTGTATATGTAAGCGTGGGTGTGTGTACATATACACACATAAAGACATACGAACATACCTGCATACATACATATAGACATACATACATACACACATACATACATACGTACATACATACAGTACATAAACGTCACATAAGCTAACCTCCAAGCAAAGAACGCAATTTGCCAGCAAACTGCTGTAATTTTGGCATTAGCTATGTTGGATATTGGCAGAATCTAGCTTCTATTCTAAGATGAATCTTTGTTTTATGGAATGTCAAGATAAAGCTCCTAGGAATCCTTCTCGTCCAGGCTGCTGTATGCCTTCCATCCTTACGACTATCGTTGATGTACATCCCGACGGTCTTATCACAGCCTGGACCTTTGAACCATAAGTAGATACAACGCGTCTAAAGCAGCTCACGTGCCCCTGAACAAACCATGCCATATGTTCCTAAACAGNNACACGGTATTTACGATACACAACGAGGGTGTTCAGGGGGGTTTACCATCTATACATATATATATATATATGTATGTATGTATGTATGTATGTATGCATGTATGCATGCATGTACGTATGTATGAATGTATGAATGAACGAACGGATGAATATGTATATCTATATATATATATCTCTCTCTCTCTCTCTCGCATATAGATATCTATATATATATATATATACATCTTACACATGTGTGCACATGAACTTATGTATAAGCCCTATATAGCCCGATGCCCTGTACTACATCTTTCTCCCTCCCACTCTCTTCTCCTTGCCTCTGTCAACTTAAAATTGCCTGCAGGATCTGCATTCGTGGTCTCGGGGACGACAACTTTAACAAGGTGTTTCGGCGAAGCAAACCCTGGCTGCAACATAAGGCCAGTTCTTTGACCGGCTGCGGGGAAGCAAATACAAACTCTCCAACGATCCAGCTTCCAAAACACTACCCCACCGAGCTGCAGAATTTCCATGGAAAGCAATGCGGGTGTGTGCAATCGTCCCATGCTCTGCGGTCATCGTCCATGCCAGGACTCAGAGTTCTGAAGCTCCTTACCGACACAAAGGCTGTGTGCAGCAGCCCGATAAAAGTCTACAAAGAGTCCAAGCCACAAGACTGAAGTGTCGTGACCCGAAGCTTGCGATGAACTCTTGATGCTCCTGTGAACGGCTTCCTGCCCTGTTTCGGCCAGTTGCTACAGCCTGCTTAGCAGTCGACCTCACTAGTCAACAGTTGCTAGTTTCAGGAGTAATTCAGGTTCACAGCACGACGGCAGGCATGCGGTTTACAACTCCGACCCCCTTTCCAGACAAAGACCGAACAACTCACTGACGCGCCTGCCCTGACAGAACCCTCCACCGCCAGCATCAATGCAATCTTCGTGGGCTACAAGTACTTTAGCCGGAAATCCCTGTTGCAGCATCAACACACAAGGCCCAAGCGATCTTACAGCTTTCTGCTGACCAGGCGCGAGCTCGGCGAGATCTTCGGGAACGCTCCGTGCAGATGTGAATGGAGCACTCCGGGGCGTCGTCTCCTACGTATGCGCTCCGAAGCTACCTATGCGTGGCATGGTCGTCAAGCCGCTTTGCTCGCAGTTTACCATAAGCCACCAAGCAATCTTGGCTCAACGCGGCTTGGATCGGCTTGGCGTCCTCTTCCCGGAAAGCATCCACCAGCACGGCCGTGCAGCCGAAGGTGAGGACTAGTGTCCACAACAGAACTACCTTGTTCTGGCCAACGTTTGCAGCCCCACACTTCTCGCTGGCGGACACATGTCCACGCATGCTTCGATCTAGGATACCTAGTGAAGCCTGGATGTTATGTTGTGTGTGAGTGTGTAAGCTTTATGTGTACATGTACAAATTATATACATCTACATGTAGATGCATACATACACACATGCCTGCATCGAACATGCATGCATGTATACATGCACAGACAAATCAAGGGGAACATGCGTGTGTGTGTATATATATAGATAGGTACATGTGTGTATACATATATGTGTGTGTATACATGTGTATAGATATATATGTGTATATATATAATATGTATATATATATGTATAATATATATATGATACTGAGTACTTCTTCATCTATCTGTATATCTACCTGTCTGTCTATCCACTTAATTTTTATCTGTCTTGACTGTGGTGTTTTTTTGTTCCATTGGCTAAGAACGCCATTTCTGAGTGAGCGGTGCCCCTATCTCATTCGAGCTTACAATTATGTCAGCTCACAATTGTGCTTGATCTCGCTGCGCCTGTGAAGGATGTATGTACAAGCAACAGCAGTCGCTTGTACATACGTCCTTTTCTGCCTTCTTCCCCTCGCCGCTCCCCTTCGCCTTGTTTCGGTCTCGCCCTACCTTGCCTGCACTTCTTACATCTACCTAAGCAGACACATGCACACAAAGCCGAAAGTACAAACCCAGCAAACCCCCTGACATTCATGAAACCGTTTCAGAAAAGTGGATCGTCCCCGCTCATGGCCACCGCACTGCCTTCAGAAACGCCAACTTCGCAAGGCACTGCTTGGGGCCAATTGCCGGCCGTACAGGCATATAAACACGCAAACTCAGGGCAACGATGCCGGCCTTGCTTACACGGCAACGTATAAATAGCTTTTTCGATGCATGGCTTAGAGAACGCTCACGTAGTTTAGCGCTGTTCAGAGACGGAGCCAGAACGCCCAGTTTGTGAGCCTGTGGAGAGGCCCCATGCAGTGCACATCACAAAGCGCCGCAGCTACTGAGCAAAACCCTTTCAACGCTGTTAAATACAGGAATACACACAGCCATGGTATGAATGCCTGCGCACATCGAGATCCCAGGATAAGCATGCATGCGAGCATACATGAGCAAATACAGTGGTTCATCTTGCATACACCATCTTACTTCAACTCATCTTTTTATTTACCCCTTCATGCATCTGTTCGTTCGTTCATGCACATCTGTTCGTTCGTTCATGCACGTGAGGGTGTAATTTCACGTGCCGATGCATTCGAAAACCGCAGCTGGGCTATTGTTTCTCCGTGCGGCTTGGAGACTGTCTCCCAGCCTCGGTTGAAGAAGCTCACATAAAATTTCCAGGAGTTCTCGTAAAAGATGGCCGGGACGTTCACCAGAATCCTTGATTGCTCCGTGAGCAAGCCACTGGCATGTCTGCCATGCCAAGGCCAGTGGAGGAAGCCAGACAAGCGAACTCCTACCGAGAGGTCGTCGAGAGCTGACGACTGTTGGATGCAACACCATCAATCCTAGATGCTTGAGAGTTTGGTACGCGCGTCCTTATGCACTTAAGGCAGGACCGTTGACACTTGATGTGTTTGCATGGCCTGGCATCCGTCAGGATTATGTACCTCTGCATTTTGCGACAGTCGTACCACTTTCTCTGTTGCAGGGTGTTAAACCTGTAAGCATGGTCAGTCAAAGAAACGCCCTGTCTGTGCTGCATGCGGTTAGTCAGACAAGGTGCAGAAAAATAGGGCCTACGCCCTTTCCCAGGAAGACCAGTATGCAAGCGAGCCAACTCCCATCTGCCTTCAGGGTCAGAAAGGACGCAGTGATTTCTTCAAGTCTAGGTCTAGGCTTCATGCGTGCCGAAGGTCACGATGCTCAGCGTCCCTCCAACGGTATGGAGCCACGGGCCCGAATGCTGTGACAGAGATATCGCGTTTCAAAAATGCGGTTTCAAACGAATGTGTATCATGATGGCATCTGCCAGGAAACGACGAACTCGCCACGCTCCGCATTTCGACAAAGAACCGCAGCCCTCGCAGTATCTCGACAGTGAAACAGCTTCGCATGTAGCATACTGTAAGTTTGACTTGAAGCCTGAAGGCTGCAGTAGGTCGCACCTCGCCCTTGGCCAACTGCCTTCCCACGGTGGTGGCCAAGGCTTTCTCCGCAGTTACGCCGAAGGCGTTCAGGAATCCTGGGAGTGGTGTCTACGCACATGAGATGCCTGTACCTTCAAGAGATCCTTATAGGAACAAGTCAAGAGGCCCCAGGCATACCAGGCCGGGCGAGTCAGGAACCCCGTGCTCTCGTGCCTGGAGACCGAGATTTTGGCTCCTTTCATACCTTTCATTTTAGGCCTCCCACAGCTGCAGTTCTGGCTCACGCTGACCCCGCCCCAAGGCTGTTTCTGCTTTCCGATGCGCCCTGTGGTTCCAAGCTCGAAAACCCCGACACCGCCCCTTTTCTTAGCTCTGATTGATATGGACGATGCGGCAAGCGTGGAAAGCTCTGCACCAAGCTGCCAGTAAGCGACAAAGCCGAAGACCATGGGCACCGCCAGCCAACTGCGCTTCTTCCCGCCAACAGGAACCTGGCATAATCAGCGAGCTCAACCGAAGGTCAACTACTTGCCTCTTCTTTTCACCCTAAACTGTTCGAGCAGGCTCAAGACTCACGAGCTGCAGGAGCTGTGAGCAATCACATTACCTAGCACGTGTCGGAGCAGTTTCCAGTTTCAGCGAGGGAGGGCGGCTCCTTTACAAGAACTGCATGAGAAACCTGTGAGCTTGACTTGGGCGCGCAGAGGCAGTGCTTGCCTATAGGAAGGTCCAGCGTTGCAGGCTTTACATGCACCGTGGAGGCAAATGCATTCAGGAGCGGCATAAAGGTATCGGAGCATGAAGCGGTTCATGGAGGAGTGCCAGATGCGCCAGAATGCCTCCCAGGTGCGTGGCTGCTGGATCGCATCCGTTTACAGGTTCTTGTGTCAACGCTGAACCCATTGCGATTGATCTTGAGCCGACCCTGAAGAACTATCTCCTGCCTCGAAGGTGTAGAAAAACGTAACGCAGCCCAGCATGTTCTCCGGACAATCAACGCCATCAGCCAGGGACATGAACCTGTGTCAAACTCGCTGGCCCTCTGCACCTACCGGGCATGCTCTGCAGTACAAGCGTTGCGCATATCGTCTGCAAATGCAACGGTCAACAAGGAGTGTGGCCGCTGGGCAAACATAGTGTTTAGCAGCTGATTTTAGGGAAATCGGAAGCAGATTTTGGAGTGATAAGCTCTGTTCGTCAAAAATGCAATTTAATTAGGGTAGGGGCCGATCGTGGGGTTCCCCCCATTCTGGTGCCTAAATCCTAAAGAATAGCGCTGAATCCTAAAGCTTTAGTGTTTAGGAATAGGGTTTAGCGCTAAATGTAGTGGTGGCCTGAGCGATGCCATCGCAGCCCTTGAGATCCCTGGAGCAGCATCCGATCCCCAATCCAAGTCCAAGCTCCTTTCCGATGCAACCTGGCTCAAACATACCCTTCAATTTAGCCCGTGGTGCACAGCACTTTGTGACTGTGGCTGTAGTAGCGAGGCTTGCAAGGGGAGCAGCAGGGAAACTCATCCAAAAGAGCTGAACAGCCAAATTACGACTAAAGAACACGAATCCTCCCTCTTCCAGGAGGAACTTACCAAGAACATGCCGTCTCGCCTGCCAAATCGCCACAGGATCATCAAGGTAAGCCAGGTGAAATGCAGTCGGACGTGCATACCTGCACAACAAATCACAGGTCTTCGACTTCAATCAGCTGATCTCTAGACTCTAGAAAAGGCCGTCGACCTCCGTGACTCCGTGGCTGATCGCTGAGTTCTGCGATTCTGCAACATCATGGAAATGCCACGCCCTGTATCAAACAAACAGACCTGAACCTGTTCGCCCGGAGCCAAGGCACCTAAGTAGAGCTCCCAAATCGACAACTCATCGAAGATGCAGTTCTCATGCTGATGTTCGGAGCATGTCAGCCCATGGAGCTTCTGACCTCCGCGCGCGAGTTTTTCGCTACCGGGCTACCGTCTGCCATGGGCGTCAAGACTGACTTCATCAAGGTAAACCACTGGATCCACCCAGTGCAGGGGGCATATGTATATATGGACAAAGCGACAGAAATAACCAGCCATGCTGCTGCCGCGATGACATACTATCGCTGTGCTGCCCAAGGGCTATACCACCACAGCACTGAGAACACCTCCGTGCCAAACATCATCAGAAGCAGCCGGAAGCAGTAGGTGATGACCTGCGATGTGAGCAATGTTGTGATGCCTAGATGGGAGTTCTTAGTTACAGAACTGATGCCCCAGAGACGCCCAAACCATCTCTTCACTTACAGCATGGCTGCTTGACTCCTTTGCACAGAGCTGGCCCCGTCCGCCCTTACCTGCGTAAAGCTGTCTTAAGATGCGTCGGCGCAGGCTTGAGATGCTTTTCCCGAATGCGCAGCAGAAGGGTTCCCGTTTTAAAGGTTGGGGTCCAGGGGTCCAATAGTTGACCAGGGATCGTTGTTCCCAGCCCCCAGCCCCCAGCCCAGCCCCTAGCCCCTAGCCCCCAGCTCCGCCCATCCGATGTAGTACACTCATATGATTCTTCGTTCGGTCGTATGAATATGCCTTTCCTTCTACTTCTTTTTTTGAC